CAACAGATAAGGCCCAAGGACAAGCTAAGCCTTGCTTGGCCTGTAGCTAAGAAGCAGCATGGGGCGTGGCAGGCTCATTTACAAAGACACTATTTACAAAGCGAGGGGCCTAGGAGAAGCACAAGGGATTGTGCAGCTATGCGGGGTGGATGGGAGTGGCAGGAATACTACGCACCAGAACCTCAAGGAGAGAGGCCGCCTGAGAGGGGCCGGTACCTTCCTTCCAGGTCGGGCCAGGGGAATAAATACAGACCCCACCCCTTCCCTCCCTTTGATCTCCCTGCTGGGCTCTTCACTTGCCATGGCCAAAAGGTGGCCAGAGGGCAAGGGTAGGGTCCATGCAGTGCACACATCAGTTCCTCCAGCACACAAAGCTGGGACACAGGAGGGATGACCTCTGATAGGGCCTGTGGGCCGAGGGGCCAGCCTGCCTGGGTGCACAGCCCAGCTCTACCTTTGACTATCTGGGTAGCCTTAGGCATCAAGATCTGGAACACCCAGCAATAATTGTATTCTAGAGGCTGTTACAATGAGGAAATTTGTTAATCTATGTGAAGTGCTTAGGACATTGCCCCACACAGGGTAAACCCCAGACACGTGAATTGTGACTGGCTGTGTGAAATCTAAAAGCTTTCTATGGCCTCTACAGAGACAGGATCCAATGGGTCCATTCCGAGAGGCAGGAGGAGGAAGCCAGCAGTGGGTGCTGAGGTCAGGCTGGCACATGGGAGCACCAGTAACACTGAGGCATTGATGATCTGTAAGTATCAAGACTGTGTGGGACCTGCCGTGTCCATTGTCCTTAAACCCTCACCATGCAAGCAGGCTGGTGGAGTTGACCCTGTCTAACAGCGGAGGAGACTAAAGCTCAGAGGGTTGAAGCTCCCTGCCCAAGGCCACACAGCCAACAAAGGCAGACTCCAAGCCCCACACTCTCACTGCTGCACCCCTCCCAGCTACTAAATGTTCTTTTAGAAACTCAGAGCATGACTGGACAAGGTGGCTCATGCCTGGAACCCCAGCGCTTTAGGAGGCTGAGGTGGGAGGATTGCTTGAGGCCAGGAGTTTGAGACTAGCCTGGTCAACATAGTGAAGCCCTGTGTCCACAAAAATAAAATAAAAACAGAAACTCAGAACCCATGAAAAATTTGTAAGTTGCAACATAAAAAAATTAGAATTAGGCTGGGCACGGTGGCTCATGCCTGTAATTCTAGCACTTTGGGAGGTCAAGGCAGGCGGATCACGAGGTCAGGAGTTCAAGACCAGCCTGACTAACATGGTGAAAACCCATTTCTACTGAAAATACAAAAATTAGTCAAGTATGGTTGTGCATGCCTGTAATCCCAGCTACTTGGGAGGCTGAGGCAGGAGAATCACTTGAACCCAGGAGATGGAGGTTGCAGTAAGCCAAAATCATGCCACTGTACTCCAGCCTGGGCAAGAGTGAGACTCTGTCTCAAAAATAATAATTAAATTATTTTTAAAAATTAGAATTGAGAATATCCTCTGTTTAGCAGAATTTTCTCTGAGCTTCTTACCAGATATCTTAGCACTTACACAGAGGGTAAATTCTCATTTCAGATTATGTTCTATGGAGAAGAGTCTATTAAGTATCAAAAATGTGAAATCTATTAACTTTAAAATGCAACTTTAAAGAGGATTGCAGGCAATTTTATAAAAAATTAAAAATAATAAATCCATGTTTAAAAGTAATGCATTTTTCAGAAAAGTATCAGTGCCATGGTATTTAGGGCCAAATATGGTTAAGAAAGTGATTAAAGTAGGCTGGGCACAGTGGCTCACACCTGTAATCCCAGCACTTTGGGAGGCTGAGGCAGGTGGATCACCTGAGATAAGGAGTTCGAGACCAGCCTGGCCAACATGGGGAAACTGCATCTCTACTAAAAATACAAAAATTAGCTGGACATGGTGGCATCTGTAATCCCAGCTAGTGAGGAGGCTGGGGCAGGATATTCACTTGAACACAGGAGGTGGACGTTACAGTGAGCCAAGATTGCACCACTGCACTCCAATCTGGGCAACAAGAGTGAGACTCCATCTTAAAAAAAAGAAAAAAGAAAGTGATTAAAGCGCAGGAATATGTACCAAGAATAGTATTTTTCTTTTTTCTTTTTAAATATTGAGATAACCAATAGAAATACATTTGCTCTAATGCACATATAATCTTTTAAAATAATTTTTAATTTTTAAAATTATTAAATTTTTATTGGAACACATCCATGTTTATTCACTTAGTTATTATCTATTTTTTGTGTTTTTTGTTGTTCTTTTTGAGACGATATACCCAGCTAACTTTGTATTTTTAGTAGACACAGGGTGTCTGGCCCCTATTTTTTATTTTTGACTGCATTAATTTATAAGCTCACCAATATAATAAAAGGAAAATCTTAGAAAATAAATACTTAAAAATGTTTTAAGTCCAAGGCCACTGCCTCTGTCAGCATCTGTCAAGGGGAATGCAGGTCACCTCCTTGTTCCTTGTCCTTGCGGCTTCACAAATGGAGAGATGATTTTCGTCCCTATCAGCCTCAATTCACGATAAATACAGATGAATGAGTGGATGGACAAACAAGAAGGACACACTGGCCAATGGACACGAGAGCTGGTGACAAGATTAAAAAGAAGGTTCGGTTTGGGCTACGCAGGAATGGTGGTGGTGATGGTTGTTGTTTTGTTTGTTTGTTTTTTAGGATTAAATAGTAAATTTATTTAATTGTAACAAATATATGCCATTAGTATGTTCTTAAGTTTTGGGTCACATTGGCAACAGTGTCTTTAGTTTCTTTTGAAATTCTTTTCAGGAATCTTAAGGATATAGTTCCCTTAAAAAATATTTGCTATGTTTTACCTCTTTTAAGACTGTAAACAGGGCAAAAAGGCATGGATATGAGAATTAGCTAGTGATCACTGGCTATTCTAAATAGTGACTAAGGCCTGAATTCTTTCTTCACCAGAAGTCCCAAAGGTTTCCCTGATATTAATAACTTTATAAAAAGTTGATCATTATTCATTAAAAATTAGGTGTTTGTAAAGAAAATATAAATGAAGTCTAAACCAAAACTCTTAACCAGACTAACTTCAATATTATGAATCACAAAATCTTTTTGATTGATTGCTATATTCAGAGGATCTTACATGCTTTTAGAAAAATATTAAATCCCACTATAAGAGATGATAAATTTTAGTCAAAGGCTAGAACACAACTTGCAGAATAGATAATTGGACTTGACAGTTAACAACAGTTATTTACACTGTACAATGGAACAAATAGAAATCTTAATTCTTCTTGCCTTTATAGCTGTAGCTGACCACTCAGGAATACTTTCGCTTTCATATTTACAGTTAATCTTAGTTCAAATCTAAAATATGTATATTTCCTATAAGCAACTTTTAAAGATAATGTTTCTGTTAGGAGGAAATAAAAAAGCTGAAAAAAGAACCGGAAAATTTTGATCCTTCATTTTTCGAAGAAATTGAAGATCTTAAGTATAATTACAAGGCAGAAGTAAAGAAGAATATTCTCCTAGAAGAGAAGGTAAAAAAACTTTCAGAACAATTGGGAGTTGAATTAACTAGCCCTGTTGCTGCTTCTGAAGAGTTTGAAGATGAAGAAAGTCCTGTTAATTTCCCCATTTACTAAAGGTCACCTATTCATTTCATTTAACTATTTATTAACTTCATAAGTTAAAATCTACCCGGAAATAAGCAATTCTCTGAACTGTAGTATTTCCTTCTCACTACCTTGTACCTTTATACTTAGATTGGAATTCTTAATAAACAAAATTATATGAAATTTTCAACTTATTATAAAAGTATATATTTGAAGACTTAGAATAAATTAGGGCCATCAAATAGGCAATGAGCTCTGGTGAATTTCTCTACATTCATAATGTTTTGATTAAGTTTTTTTAAAAAGTATGAGGGTAAATTCAGCAATTTTAATATTTAAAATTGGGAGTTTATATATACTTATTTACACATGTGTTAAGATTCTCAAATCATAACTATAATATATATAAATACAGGTATAGACATATAGACATATAGGTTATGAGGCTGAGCCATATGTTCTGTTAAATATCTAGCAAAATCAAATTGAGCTTCAACTATTTAATTTTGAAAATTAGTGACATTAAGTTGTTGGTTTAGTTGTTGCCTTTAAATTGCCACTCAGTTATAGAGGAGAGAATCCAGCTCCAGCCTTTGTACAAGCTTAGGCGGTCACTGTTACTTATATTTTTATGGCAAGAGATTAAAATTAATTTGCTTGTTTTGAATAAAATTTTGAACAGGTATTTGAAACTGGAAAATTCATTTCTTCACAAATGGTGGAAGACAAATTGATGTTTCATAATGAATAGAAACCTTGAAATATTTTTAAATATGGTAGAATATCCAAGATTAGAATATAACGATAATAAACTTATTTTATTTGCATTTTATACATCAAATATTATATCTTTGAGTCTAGCAAATTTCTGATTATCTATTTTTGAAAAATGATTAAACAAACACTTAAATCAAAGGCAGAGTCACATTTGTTCAGGTTCATGTTGATAATAACTGGTCTTGAATTCATGTAAGTATCTGGAATTGGCCAGCATAAGCCAAGATGATGGCGATGGACCTTTATTAAACAGCCATCACTGCAATGCCATACTATTCCTTCAATTTTACCCCCTTTGCAACCTTCAAACCAGGACAAGAGATGATTGTGCTTCAATGAAGGTAAATTTCTTATTTGAAATGCTCCATGTGGTATAAGAAGATGTAATGGATGTTTCTTGCTCCCTAACCCATATGGGTTTCCATTGATATTTGTTCCTATGAGCTCCAGTGTTTGTTCTAAGAGATCTGATAGTGGCACTGCACTAATTTCCAAAAGTCCAGGATCATCAGGATGATGTTTTAGTACCAGGGCAATTTCAAGTTCATAATTAACTACACAGGAGTGCCAGCAATACTGTTTGTTGTTTTTTTCTACTGGTACCCAACCAGGAATGTGTCCATTTTCATCAGGCACTGGGTTTGCATTTATTTGTTCTATTTCCTTGGCTGGTATCCAGCACTCTGCAGCTGGTTTGAAGTCCTCCTCAACGTTCCAAAAAAATTCTTTTGGGTTTCCTTTTGAATGTAGAAAATTTTTAAATCTTTTTTCAGCTTGTTTGTTGGGTTTTCTATCTAGTCGGGCCCAAAGGTATGGCTGATCTGATGGTCCCTTTTGGCAGAAGGCTCCTCTTTTACCTCCGTCACAAACACACACGGCATTTTCCGCTGCACGGAGCCCAAGCGCTTCATGATGAGCCCAACAAGCAGTGCGAGTGGAGGGCGCGCTTTCGAACAGCGTCCAGTTCAGGCAGGGAGAAGCCCTGCAGCTGTCTTGTGCGGCCCTCAGGCCACTCACACTCCGCGCCCAGCCACCGCCGTGGTGCCCCAACCATGCCAAACGGTTGTTGTTTTTAAGACAGGATCATCTGGCTCTGTCACCCAGCCTGCAGTGCAGTGCCACAATCACAGTTCACTGAAGCCTGAAACTCCCAACGCTCAAATGATCCTCCCACTTCAGCCTCCAGAGTACCTGGGACTACAGGCATGCACCGCCACGCCTGGCTAATTTTTGTGTTTTTAGTAGAGACAGGGTTTTGCCATGTTGGCCAGGCTGGTCTCGAACTCCTGGGCTCAAGCAATCCTCCTGCCTCAGCCTCCGAAGGTGCTGGGATTACAGGCGTGAGCCAGCATACCCAGCTAAGGAGAGGCTTTGACATGAGACTGAAGAGTTGAGGTATTGTGTACGAGGCAGTACTGTGCCCACTGGGGCACTGGGGTTTTGAACAAGAGAATGAGGTGACTCGACTTGAGGGCTAAGGAAGATTGATCTCATGGAGGGCCGAGTAGAAAACTGGCAGGATCCGGTGGAGCGTGGGTTGATTGGGGGTTAACCAGTCCCCATGGCAGTGACAGAACTCTGGCCCCAGGGAGGAAGCTCATGATAGGAAACGTTTCCTTTCTGCATTTCGATGATGCCACCTGCCTCCCGAGGGGGTGGGGGTGGTGAGTTGAGTCAGGACCCGTGTCTCAGGCTGGACGTCGCCCCAGAACCAGGACAGAGGGCAGCACCAAGGCCCAGCATGCTGCCTCCTCTGGTTCTGTTTTCAGGGGAGATTCTATACCCCAGAATGGGAAGGATTAGGTCCTTCCTTCCAGTCCCCGAGACTTCTTGCACACAGGCAGACCCTGGCCAGAACGCTCTTCAGACATGTGTTTGTAACGCTTAGTGTGTTTCCAAGATACCCAGTGGATAGCTTCTCACCACCAAGACCATCCTGCTGTGATCAATTCTGAGGGGCTGAGATGGCCCTGGAACAGAACATTCTAGATCAGCACTCCCTTGCTATCTCCAGTCTTGCCTTGAATGCTAAAGCTCAAGTTGAACTGAACCTCAGGGAGAAGTCAGACAAACCATAAAGGAAGTGGCCGCCCTTCCCATTCACACACAGAAAGGCTGGGAGAGGAAAGGGGCTGCCAACGGGAAGCTTGGTTCTTGACCTCAAGACCAGCGCTGGGCAGATGGAGTATTTCTCAGCAGGAATGCGGGCTGAGTGGTCAGCAGCCCCTTCCAGCATCCCGCGGATGACATACGATGCCTGGGAGCCCCAGACTGCTTCTTGCTAAAGTCACACCTCTAAGAAAAACAGAGGGAAAGTCCCCTGCCTACAGCAGCCTCAGTGGTAAGAAGACCCTCTCTGGAATCAAGTGGCTATTTTCGAATTAATCTCCTGAGGACCAAGTGATCCAAGCCTGCTCCTGGCTGATGGGATAGGGCTGGGCCATGGGCTCAAAAACACATTGGCACTTCATTTATTCAACAAACGTTTATTTATTTTTTACTTTATTTTATCAATTTGAGGCAGTCTCGCTGTCGCCCAGGTTGGAGTGCAGTGGCATGTTTCTTGGCTCACTGTAATCTCAGCCTTCTGGGTTCAAGTGATTCTCCTGCCTCAGCCTCCTGAGTAGTTGAGATTATAGGCACCCACTACCATATGCAGCTAACGTTTTGTATTTTTAGTAGAGACAGGTTTTCGTCGTGTTGGCCAGGGTGATCTCAAACTCCTGGGCTCAAGAGATCCTCCTGCCGTGGCTCCCAACAGTGATGGGATTACAGGCATGAGCCACCACACCTGGCCCAACAAATGTTTATTGAGCACCTACTATGTGCCATGCCCTGTGCTGGATGGGGGGAAATAATGTGAACAAAACAAAACATGCTACTGAGATTAAGATGCTCACAGGGCCAAGGCTCTCAAAGCTCGCATTCCCCAATGGACCAGAGCTCTCAGGCTGGAAGTAGGGGAAGTTGTGAGCTCCAGAGGAGAGCCAGGATTGTGGTGGCTCCTCCTACCTCAGGGGTTTGAAAATCTGGGCCGGGCAGGCATGGCACCCTGCCTGTGCAAGGCGAGAGCCTGGCTGGAACCGAGATAGACCGGTGAGGTCCACAGCGGCCCCAGTGGTGAGACGGGTCTGCTCCTGTTCTCTTCCATATGGTCGTTGGTCACAAGCTATGGGCCAGTGTTCCCGCAGCAGGCCAGGGTCCTTGGACATATGAGGCAATGGTGAGCACTGGAGGCCTTGGATGTCATTGCTGGGGAATGACAGGCTGGACCCTCCGAGACACCCCTGGGTGTCCTCGCCTTTCAGAGTTTCAGCCAAGCCTGGAATCACTCCAGCGACAAAGGAGACACATCTGCCAAGTCTGCCCAACTCTCCTTGGCCACGGGAGCCCAGGACCAGCCATAAATGGACAGGAGCCAGGGGCCCTGTGGGAATGGGGCTGTGGTGGACACCTGGGGACACGCGTGGGTCAGCAGAGGCACTTGAAGTCCTGGGCCGGCAGGTTCCTCAAAAGCAAAACCACTTGAAAACCATTGTGCAGGACGCTGGGGCCCTGCGGCCAGCCCCCCATAGCACGAGAGGCTCCTGCAACAGAAACCGCTGGCTGGCAAGGTCAGCTGTGGCTGGAGGTGCCGAAGACGGCTGAGGGCAAGCGCCAAAGGGCTGAGGACGAGGGGATGACGCTGGGGACCTTGCCCTAAGCTCAGGCCACTCCATCTGAGCTCTAATCCCCTCTTTTGCTTTCGGCTTCCGCTTCTCCCCCAGTGGAGGGAGACTGGGAGGTTCTGCTGTTGCCCTAGGAGCTGCCAACAGCAGTGGAAGGCAGGGCCTTGGCAGGCAGCCTCGCCTCTGTGGGAACAGGCGGGGCCGATTACTCTGAGCTGCCAGGCACTACGGGGACTTCCCAGCCCGCTGGCCTTGCCTCCTGTGTGGTGGACTCTGTGGGAGGGGACCAAGGGGTGGAGCAGGAGGAGGAGACCCAGCCAGGCCCTGAAGAGGAGCCAGGAGCTAAGAACTTGACCTGGAATCTCAGGGTGAGGGGCAAGTCCAGCCCCCTCCAGGATCCAGGGTCTCACCAAGGGGAAGGAAGGGCCCGAGGCTTACTCACCCAGCTGGGTTCCAGTGGAGCCAGGAAGAGACGGGGTGCACTGGGGAGGCCCTGGAGAAGGGGCCTGGTGGAGCATGTCCTAAGTCTGTCTTTCGTTTTTCCTACAAATCTTAGGGACTTTCCTGGGGTCAAGGTGCTATGTACAGTGTGCAGGTGTGGGCTGAGGCATGGGGGTCGGGCTGTGTCCACATGAACAATGAGTCACCTTTTTCCAAATCACACCAGGGCCCTGTGCGGGTCAGTACCTGGTGTCGCCAGGCCAGCCTCAGGGGACAGCTCATCAGAAACCAGCCCTTCGCACTGGGGAGGCTTTGGGCCTGGGGTGCCCTTCCTCAGATGAGGGGTCACATCTGACCTGGGCACCAGCACATCAGGCTCCTGGGTTGAAGGCTCAGCCTGGAGGGGACTGGCAGGTCTGCAGGGTGCCCTGGGCTGGTGACTGGGAAAGGCCAGGCCTCCTTTCCCTCCCAGGCTGTCTGCTTCCACACGCTTCGCTGCCTGCAGACTCACTTCTGTCACTGAGGCAGGGTCACCTCAGGAACCAATCACATTTCATTCTGAGTGGAATGAGGCTGCGGAAGTCAAGGCCATAAGTCAGTGTGACACCTGCTTTTGACCTGAAAAAATATAGACCATGAGGGAAAATTAGCCATCAAATAAGTATGTTGGGGCAGGACCAACTATTGAATTTCATACCTGCCCTACCATAATTCACAAGGGTTTTAGATTTCCAGAAAGGAACCTCAAAGCCCTTTTCATGGCCGGGCATGGTGGTGCGTGCCTGTAATCCCAGCATATTGGGAGGGTTTGAGACCAGCCTGGCCAACAGGGTGAAATGCTGTCGCTACTAAAAATACAAAAATTAGTTGGGCATGGTGGTATGCACCTGTAATCCCAGCTACTCAGGAGGCTGAGGCAGGAGAATCACCTGGACCTGGGAGGCAGACGTTGCAGTGAGCTGAGATGGGCCACTGCACTCCAGCCTGGGGGACACAGCAAGACTCCATCTCAAAAAAAAAAAAAAAAAAAAAAAAAATTCTCTGTCAGGGTGACAGGAAGGATTCCTGGAAATATGAAGGAGCTGCGGATGGTTTTGAAGATAAATCCAAATTTGTAGTCTGGGGAGGCCCACCTGGCACAGAGGTACAGAGGACGGAACAGAGACTGATCTGGGAACCAGAGGAAGTGGGTGCCTGGGACGGGGTACAGCAGGCACCCAAGGTGAGAGGCCTGCGTCTGTGCCAAGGAGCAGACCCAGGGCCTCTACCTGGGTGGTAGGGGCAGCCGGCCAGCACAAAGGGCAAACACCAGCCTTCTGTGGCACCTCCTCCTCCCCACTGCCTCTGTGGCTGCCTCTGCGGCTTCCTCAGGGTTTTCCCACGCTGTCAACCTGGCCAGAGTCCCAAAGAGCAAAGTTCTGCTGAGGTTTTGGGGAGGGGAGCGGGCTCTGAGAGGAGCCCCTGGAAGGAGGCTGCTGCTCCTCAGGCCTAGAGGCTTGTTCTTCTGCAGAGATCACCCAGATACTGAGAAGTGCAGCTGCTGCGGAATTTCTGGCCGGGAACACAGAAATGCGGGCGGGGAAGGAGCAGTGTAGGGAAGAGGAAGTAGGCTCTGTGCAAGAGCTGCTGCTAGTCTGGGCTGGTTGGCCTGTGCAGGGCGATGGTTCTCAAACTTAGGCTATGACCCAGGCGATGCTGTCATACAGGTGCCAGGTGGGCTGCTCCACAGCCACTGGGAAGGCTGGGAGCTGGTGGCCTACTGTGGGGCATAGCAGCTCCAGAGACCCCAGATCTGTTCCTCTGGTGAGTATCAGGCCTCCTCCTCCCCCACCACAAAACCTCAAAAGGGGTCTTCCCCTGTATTCCACCTGCTCTCCCTATGCACCCACAGCTGAAGCAAAGGCAGTGATGGAGGCTTGAGAGCCCTCTCCCCAAGTCAGCAATCATAGTCT